CAGGCTCCACGGCGCTGTCAAATACCTGGCACGATGCCCTTGCTGGGGCGGGCGCAGCGTGTCGTCGCGCGGCCTTGCCGTTTGCTGTAGTTGTGTTCGCCTTGGCCTTCCCCGCGCCCGGCCGCGGCCTGACCCGGCATCTCTCGTCAGCGGGCCTCGTGGCGACCGGCGATGGCCCCGATGCGGCGCTTGGCTTTGCCCCCCCCGCCCTTGGGGATCAGGCTCCTCGGCGCTGTCAATACTTGGCGCGATGCCCCTTGCTGGGGCGGGGCGCGGCGTGCCGCGCGGCCCTGGCCGTTGACGGTAGCTGTTTTCACCTTGGCCTTCACTCGGACCTGGCCGAGGCCTGGCTTGGTATCCTTGGCGCTGGCCCCCTCTCCTGACCTTCCCCGCACTTGGCCGCTGCCTGACCCGGCCCCCTCGTCAGCGGGCCTCGTGGCGACCGGTGTCGGTCCCGATGCTGCGCCTTGCTCTGCCCCCCGCTCTCGGGGATCTAGCTCCACGGCGCCGTCGAGGCCTGGCGCGGTGCCCCTTGCTGGGGCGGGGCGCAGCGCGCCGCGCGGCCCTGGCCGTTGACTGTAGCTGCTTTCATCCTGGCCTTCGCTCGGACCCAGCCGCAGCCTGGCATCCACGGTGAACTGGCCTCCTCTTCGTGGCGCCACGTGTCTCGCGCGCGCCGCGCCGCGGGCACCTGGCCGGAGGTAATCTCAGCCGTCAGCTGCCTGCTGCGCTGCCCCCCCTCTGTCCCATGCGCCCGGTGGTATTCGTGCTGGGCCTGGTGAGGCACCCCGGCGTCCAGGTGACTTAAGTTGCGCGTCGGCCAGCTCAGGCTTAAATGCTTGCGTGTTCCTGGCCTCTGGTCCTCAGACACCGCCGCGGCCTGGCCGTGCTTGCAGCTGCAGCCTGCATGGTGGGACTCGCCCCTACGTGGATTGCTCAGGAGTGGTTCAGCCTTTTTGTTCTACCATGTGAGGATCTCTCTGTGGACATGCAGCAGTGGTTCGCTTCTACCTCTGGGGCCACCTCTGGCGCATGGTGCGACAAGGTTCGGTTCGTCCTCTTCCCGGTGGTCTCGCCCCTGGGATGCCCGCACGCAAGCCGCTTGGCTCTCCTGGCAGCTTTCGCAGCCTGCCGTCAGCCCCCGGTGGCTCTCAGCTTCCCTCGGCGGCAACTTCGGCAGCCGTGACTGCATCCGTTGGGTAATTAGGCTTCGCCCGTAGCCCGGGTTGACCTTTGACGCTGCTGGCGCCTTCGCCTGCGGCTGCGACGGAAAAAGTATCCCCGCCAGTTCGACGTGCGCGTGCCGCGCCGCTTGCGCTTGGCTTGGGGAGTTCTCAGCCTTCAGCGGCCTGCTGTGCCGCCCCTCTTGGCGCAGTCTGGCCCCCCCCTGGCCGCCGCTGCCCTGCCGCCAACCGCGGCCTGGTTACGGCTCCCGGGCTTTCGCCCTCAGTCCCTGGCGTCTGTAGGTGTCCGTGCGGGTTCTTGAGCCTGGCGAGGTAACCCTGGCGTCTCGGTGACTTGCGCGTCGACCAGCTCCGGCTAGCATGTTCGCATGTTCCTGGCCCCTGGCCCCCAGACGCTGCCGCAGCCTGGCCGTGTTTGCAGCTGCCGCCTTGCAATGGAGGGATGCACCTTCGCGTGGATTGCCCATGAGTGGTTTAGCCATTTGTTCAACCACCTGAGGGTGCCACTGTTGGCATGCGACAGAGGTACGCTTGGCTGCTTGCTCAGCCCCACGCTATGCCGTGCTTTGCTCGGGTGGCTCGTTTACCTGTGGCGCCTGGCGCGACAAGGTACAATCCAGTTGCCTTCCCGGTGGTCTCGCCCGTGGAATGGTTGCACTTCAGCCGCCTGGCACACATGGCACCTCCTTGCGGCTCTGCCTCCAGTTCTCTGCGTCGCTCCTCGGCGTCCCTCGGTGGTACTTTCGGCGGCCTTTACTTCGCGCGCTTAGGTAATTAGGTTTGGCTCGTAGCCTGGGCTGACTTCGGACGCCGCCTGCGCTTCCGCTTGCGGCCGGGGCGGACAAATCCCCACTAGCCCATCCAGAAATGATGCCTAGAGGAGTTGAGATGGCCAGGGAAATTGGGGAACATGCAGAAAAACAAAGGGCGGGGGAAACCGTCACTCACCCCAAGAGGGGGAGGATGCAGGAGGAATCGTCGTCGTCGTCGTCGGAGCAGGATGAGGAGGAGGAGGAGGAGGAGGAGGAGGAGGAGGAGGAGGAGGAGGAGGAGGAGGAGGAGGAGGAGGAGGAGGAGGAGGGGGAACAGGAGGAGAAGGAAGAGGATTTGGATTAGGGCGATGACGAGCAGGACGAGAAGGAGGAGAAGGATAACAAGGTGGGAAAGTTGGGTACCCCCGGGATCCTCTTGAGGCTTCGCACTGGGGTCTCTTAGGACCCGTCAGGAGGCCTCTTAGGGTCGTCTGGGCGCCTCTTGGGGCCTTCTTGGGGCGCTCTTGGGAACTTCAGGGGCGTTCTTGGGGCAATCCTGAAGGACATCGATCAAAAAAAAGGGAGTTCCAATTGTTCTCCCCCTTCGGGAGCACCGAACATCGCCTCCTCCACCCCTCCTGGAACGCTTTTTTTGCGCTCTGGAGGCCGTCTTGGGGTTTTCTTGGGCCTCTCCTGGGGCTCTTTTGGGCCATCTTGGAGCCATCTTGTGGCCTCGGATGGCTATCGGAAGCAAAAAGGCGAGAAAGCAGAACACATTGATTTTCTTAGGTTTTTGAAAGATTATGGGTTCTTGGGGGCTGCTTTGGAGGTCTCGGACGCTTCTTGGAACCGTCTTGGAACGTACTTCGGGCATCTTGGAGCATTTTGGGGGCCATCTTGAGGCATTGTGCGCTATCTTGAGCCATCTTGGAGCTCATCTTAGACTTTCAGAGGCCCGCTCGGAGCCGTCTTGGGCCATCTTGGACGCTCCAGCGCCTCGCGTTCCCCCCCGTCCAAGTCCAGGGGAGGTGGTCGGGGGAGGGGTCAAGACACCCTCTAGATAGCAAGCCGTCTAGCTCACTCCCACCCGCTTTCCTCCCAACACAAGTAACACTCGAGCCTGAGCATGTTCAGCGGTCGTCTTTGGATGGACAGGTACTAGGAACCAGCATCGACCCCATGTGCGCGTCGTTGGGGCGAAGTGCGCCACGCGTGCCAGGCACGCCTGGTGCGCCAGATGCGCCACGTGCTCCGCGTGCGCCAGGTGTGCCGCATATTCCAGCCGCGCCAGGTGCGCCACGTTCGAGGCACGTACAAAGTGTGTCAGGTGCGCCTGCGGAAACATGTCGACCTCCACCATCCTTGCCGACAACTAACGCACATCATTGTGTCCGGCGGGCCTGCGCACAACAGGCCATATGTCACCACCCCCGCCGTCCCTGTCAAAAATCACTTGACAGTGATCGCGGGGTGGTCGCGCATGATCCAGATTTAGCCGCGAGGTGCATTTTGTATCGTTTTTGTGTTAGGGGTGGTAGCCCTGCGCACGGCAGGCAATATGCTGACACCCCCGCCGTCCCTGTCAAAAACAATACAAAGTCTTCGCGGGCCTCACGAGTATGACTCAAGACTTTACCCAAAAGTGTATTTCGTATTGTTGTTTGACAGGGATAGTTGGGGTTAGGCTGCATCAGGTTGACAGCGCATGCTTCAAATGTGGAGGCAGAGTGCGTTCTGTTTGTACACGGATGGTTTGGGGGACCCTCATGGTGTCCTCATTGTTCCTGGTTGGCTGCCGGTCGCCTGGGGGAGGGGGTGCTTTTTAATAGGGAATAATGATCTTCCCCTCCCCGAAGGGGAAGAATCGGGTTGGAGGAGGAGCCTCCCTAGACCACCTACGCCCAAAGGGCTGGTGGGATTTGCTCAGGAGTCGTGCTTTCGCCTGCGACGTCTTCACAGTTTGCGAAGCTCGATTTAATACCCTGCCCGCCCGACCCGCCCGTCAGGGCCCCTCGCCAGACTCCCTGGATCCCTCCCCCAGCGGGCCCAAACCGTCTAGAAACACTGATTTTCAAACCTCTTCCTTACGCCTTGTGCTTTCGGGCATTGTCGTCACATGGCCGGAGCCCTACACCCTCGCATGGCTAGGCCAGGCGGAGGGGGGTGCACGTCAAAGGTAGCGATGAAGCAGAGAACGAGAAGATGGAGCGACGGTAGTAGCGGCGGCGGGGTTTTTGTAAGTTTTTTGGACGCACGATTTTGAAATCCTTCCGAAACCGATGGGTTTGAAGGTTTTCGGCATACGCCCGCGATGACGCGCGCGTCTGCACTTCGTCCCGTTTTTTGCAAAGGATTCTCGCGACGGCACACGCGCAAGGGCGTTCGACAGATTTCGACATGCGCGCGCGAACCCCGCTTGGTAGCATTTTGTGAACATCTTGAAAAACCTATGGTGTTGTTAACATTTCGCAAGAGCTCGCGTCCCCTGTCCTCTCCCTGCCTCCTGTCTCTCCTCCTGTCTCTCCTTCTCCTCCTTCCTCCTGTCCTCTTGTCCCCTCCTCCTCGATCCTCCTTCTCCTGCCTCCTCGATCCTTCTGCCTCGCCTCCTGTCCCGCCCCTTCCCTCCTCTTCCATCCTGCCTCCTCGATCCTGCCTCCTCCCTCCTCGTCCCTCCTTGGTCTTCCTTCCACAATCCTGCCCCGATGCTCGAGGAGGAGGAGGATGAGGAGAAGAGGAGGAGGAGGAGAGGAGGAGGAGGAGGAGGAGGAGGAGGAGGAGGAGGAGGAGGAGGAGGGAGGAGGAGGGGAGGAGGAGGAGGGAGGAGGAGGAGGGAGAGGAGGAGGAGGGAGAGAGGAGGAGGAGGAGGAGGGAGGAGGAGGAGGAGAGGAGGAGGAGGTAGGGAGGGGGAGGGAGGAGGAGGAGGAGGAGGAGGGAGGAGGAGGAGGAGGAGGAGGAGAGGAGGAGGAGGAAGGAGGAGTAGGTGGAGGAGGAGGAGGAGGAGGAAGAAGACGGCGCGGCAGGGGGCGACCCTGAGCTCGGCCGGGGGGCGGGGGGTGGGGGGCAGGTCCTACCAGATGCCCTACGCCCAGTCCATGGTCGCCATGCCGACGGCGGAGCCAGAAGGACGAGGAGGAGGGGTAGGATCTGGAAGAGGAGGAGGAGGAGGAGGAATATTGTGAGAAGAAGGGAGGGAGGGCGCGAGAGAGTGAGGAGCGAGGGGGATGCGTGCCGATGATGATGATGATGATGATGATGATGATGATGATGATGATGATGATGATGATGATGATGATGGTGATGGTGATGGTGATGGTGATGGTGATGGTGATGGTGATGATGATGACGATGATGAAGATGATGATGATGATGATGATGATGCTGCTGCTGCTGATGATGATGAAGACGCAGGTGCTGATGCTGCTGATGATCATGATGACAGCGACGATGATGATGCTGTGTATGCTGATGATGATGATGATGATGATGATGATGATGATGAGGATGATGATGATGATGATGATGATGATAATGATGACGATGCCGATGATGATGCTCACGATGCTGATAACGATGATGACGATGATGACGATGAAACTGATGCTGATGATGCTGCTGATGATGATGATGAGGCCGATGATGATGCTGATGATGGAGGTGCTGATGATGACGATGATGGTGGTGTTAGTGATGATGATGCTGAGGATGATGATGATAATGATGGTGATGAAGCTGATGATGCTGATGAGATGAAGAGGATCAGGATTATGATGAAGAGAATGAGGATCCTGATGATGACGATGAGCACGATGATTGTGATGATGCTGATACCGATTGCGATTATGATGATCATGATACTGATGACGGTGCCGCTGATGATACTGCTGATGCTGATGATGATGATGATGCTGATGATGTTGTTACTGCTGCTGCTGCTGATGCTGATGCTGATGCTGATGAGGATGATGCGGCTGATCATGATGTTGTTGATGATGATGGTGATAATGAGGATGAGGGTGTGAATGATGATGATGATGCTGATGATGATGATGATGATGATGATGCTGATGTCGATGATGATGCTGATGATGATGGTGCTGATGAATGTGGTGACGACGGCGATAGTGATGATGATGGCATCATGGTGATGCTGGCCATGATTCTGAGGGTGACGATGAACGTGGTGATGATGCTGATGATGGTGTTGATGATGATGCTGCTGCTGATGATGATGATGATGATGATGATGAGGGTGTTGCGGGTGTTGAGGCTGCTGCTGCTGATGCTGTTGCTGATTCTGATGACATTGCATATTATGCTACTGCTGGTGATTATGCTGCTGCTGATGGTGATGATGATGATGATGGTGATGGTGTTGCGGATTATGAAGTTGATGATAATGTGTGAGGGTACGAATGATGATGACGATGGCGGTGATGATTGTGATGAGGATGCTGATGTTACTGCTGATGTTGCTGCTGCTGCTGCTGATGATGATAATGACGCTGATGATGATGAGGGTGCTAGCGACGATGATGCGGGGGAGGACGATCGTTATGCTGGTGACGATGGTGACGATGTTGATGCTGATGATCGTGACGATGATGATGATGATGATGATGATGATGATGATGATGATGATGATGATGATCATGATGATGATGATGATGATGATGATGATGATGATGATGATTCTGATGATGCTGCTGCTGCTGATGATGATGATGATGATGCTGATGATGCTGCTGCTGCTGATGATGATGATGATGATGCTGATGATGATGATGCTGACGCTGATGGCGATGCTGATGATGCTGATGATGATAGTGCTGCAGCTGGTGATGATTATGATGATGCAGCTGCTGATGATGATACTGATGATGCTGATGCTGATATTGCTGATGATTATGATGCTGATGATGCTGATGATGGTGTTGATGATGATGATGATGATGATGATGATGATGATTATGCAGATGATGATGCTGATGCTGCTGATGATGACGATGATGATGATGCTGATGATGATGCTGCTGCTGCTGAGGGGGAGCGAGGAGCGAGGGGTGGGAAGGAACCAGGCGCAGTGGTGAGGAGCGAAGGAGCGAGCAGGAGCGTGGCGGAGCGAAGAAACGAGTAGTGAGGTGGACGAGCACTATGACACTGGTGTTGGTGGTGATCACGACGAGGACGAGCAGGAGGGGGAGGAAACTGATGCTGCTGTTTATCATGATGTCGATGATGATGATGATGATGATGATGATGATGATGATGATGATGATGATGATGATGATGATGATGATAGTGTTGATCGTAGGGTGATGTCGTTGATGATGTTGTGGATGGTGTTGATGACGATGCTTATGTTGTTGCTCATGCTGTTTATGCTTCTGTTGCTGCCTTCGCTGCTTCTGCTGCTGATTATGCTGCTGATGATGCTGCTGCTGCTGCTGATGATGATGATGATGATGATGATGGTGGTGTTTGAGGAGTGAGGTGTGAGGCGTGAGACGAGTCAGAGGAGGGGGAGAAGGAGGAGGGGGGAGCGATTATGATGATGAGGAGGAGGATGAGGAGGAGGAGGATGAGGAACAGGATTGCTGATGATGATTATGATGATGCTGATGATGCTGCCGATGATGCTGCTGATGATGCTGATGAAAATGATGATGCTGCTGATGGTGGTGGTGATGATGAGGGTGCTGACAATGATGATGCTGATGGTGGTGTTTATAATGGTGGTGATGATGATTCTCATGATGATGCTGATGATGATGATGATTGCAATGTGATGATGGTGCTGATGATGCTGATGATTATGCTGATGATGGTGGTGCTGAAGATGATCATGATGGTTGTGGTGATATTGGTGATGATGATAATGATGATGATGCTGATGATGATGCTGCTGAGCATGCGAACGATGACGATGCTGATGATGATTATGATGGTGATGCGGATGATGCTGATGACGCTGGTGATGATCATGGTTGCGGTGATCTTGGTTCAAGAGCCGTGGTGATGATTATGGTTGCGGTGATGATCCTGGTTGCGGTGATCCGTAGCCATTTTGGCGCAAGCGCCGCTCTGACTCAAGCCGCTGCGGCCCAGCGCGCACCCCACGGCGCGCTCTCCCTCACTCCCTCACTCCGGCGCCGGGGGTCCCTTCCTTTCTTCCTTCCTTAGCGCGATGCCATGCAGCTCCGCTGGCTGGCGAACGTCGGAGGTCGCGGAGCAGATCGCCCTGGCGGAGCGCCGGACGCTACGGGCGGTGGGCCTCGAGGACGAGGGCCAGCAGCCGGATTTCAGAATCGTGAAGACAGAGTACACTGGCGCCGACCCCGACGGGGCTATGCCGCAGCCGAGGGCGGTCCCGCGCTCGCGGCAGCCACCGCCGCGACTGCGGCCGCCGCCGAATACGCCACTACCGCCGACGTCGACGTCTTCCCCTCAGTCTTCCCTTCAGCCCGACCGGTCTGCGCAGAGCCATGCCCAGCTGAAGCCAACACCGACGGCGGCGGACCCCGCGGCCAGGCTGGAGCTGTTGATTGCAGAGGACAAGGCTATGATCCGCATGAAGATGCCGCCCCAGTCGAACGTGAGAATGCTGTCAGGTCCAATTTGAGCAAGGAAGAAATTTCGGCCTACTCTGGCGCCGACCGAGCTGCTGGCGAGGGCCCCCTGCACTACCCCACCGATGACATGGCCAAGTGTGATGGCACCGAGTCCCGCGGAGCGGATGGCACCGAGTCCGGCGAAGCTGCCGACGCCACCCTCCTTGAAAAGCCGCATGGAACTATCACTCCAGCAGAAGATCGCGGAGATTCGAGCGGGGCTGGCAACGTTGACGCTCCCTCGAAGCTGGTCACAGTCGCTACATACCTCGACGACGTGGCGATCACCATCCAGAAGGAAGAGACGTTTCCGCGGGGGGAGGCCGGCCTCGCGGTCATCGGAGGAACTCGACGTGAAGACCCCAGAGGAGGCCGACCTGGGCCGCCAGCCGGCGGAGGTGCGCAGCGAGGTGGACTGGGGCCCGCGCGACCCGGACCCTTCGCCGACGATGACGGTTTGCGAGGTAGCCTAGGGCGCGCGAGCGCCCCTCCAGCTGTACCTGCGCGAGCTCTGCCTCTTATGATTCCCCCCTGGTCGAGTCGGAGGCGTGGGGTCTAGTCGGCATGTGGGCCAGAACTTTGGCCGAACGTTCTGGTCTGCCCGGGGGGGGCCTACCCGACGCCCGTCGAGACGCCGACGCCGCTCCCGACGCCCTTCCTGACGACGTCCCCGACGCCCTCCCCGACGCCGTCCCCGAAGCCCACGACGCCCTGGAACCTCAGCCGGGCG